TGGTGTTGTTCTTCATACGCCGACAACATACTCCGGGCTATCTCCGTATGATCTTCACGATCTCTGCGGCCATGTCGTCAGAAAGGAAACTAAATGATGTCTCCTCTTCATTCGTTAATTCTCCCACTCGCTAGTCTCTCTTCTCCTTCCTCATTGTCAAAGCCACAAGCCTTATGCGGTCATTTCCTTCCTCAAATACCCACAGCTTCTTTCCACCACTTCAATTTCATGAACACCAACTGTCCATCCTCCCCTTCACAATCGAAATCCTTCTACCACTAGCTCTACATGAGAAAAGTCACAACTTGTGCCCGATCTCCTCCCCTCGTACTCTATCGAAGCGCTACAACCAACCAATTCATTTTGAAACTTCCCGCACCCTTTCAGCATCTGGTATTAGTCGCACATCCTCCCAATTGACCGTCCAAAATTAGGTCAATCTTGCAATTGCCTCACACCGAAGCCATAGATCTCGATCGAAACCCAATTCAACTCGCACCCAACCGCTGATCTCTTCCTTCTAGTCGATTTATTGATGTCGAACCAACCTCTAATGGTGTCCGGTCTTCGTACCTGCAAACCACCTCCTGTCAAAGCCTCCTGCGCCGATCTACTCAAAGCAAACCCGGCTACCCCCTATTCTTCCCTCTTCAAGCCGCAAACCCAGCCGTTAGCACATCCCTCACGTGAAGACCAAACATCCAAACCATCCCCTACCTCGCGTGAGTCTTCCGACTGAGTCTGCTAACCCCACTCCCGATCGGATACTCCAGGCTTTCGACCTAAACCCGATCACAATCCCATCTTCAACCTCATTACGTGACGAATCACAAACAGCCAAACTCCACTTGCCGTAAGACCCTTAGCCGAAGCCTGACATAACCTTCGCACCTTTGCTCTCCTCACGCAAGACTTCCGAATCTGAATCCTTTGTCCATATTCAATTTCACATAGGAGGCAAGCCGCAAACTTTCAATTTCCCTCTAAATTTTCTGAAGGAAACCCTTAACCCGACTCACACTCGATGGAAACTATAGTCAACCTTTTAATATGTATAATAAGCTTTTTGCATTCCCTCATTCTTTGGCACAATAACTACTGTTAAGTATGATAATAATTTCAATTATAATAACAATAGTAAGTATTATTATTATTTATAAAAACAAAAAAAAAGTGATGATAAAAAAATGAATGAAATAAAAAAGGGAAGAAGAAGAAATAGAAAAAGAATTAAAAACAAAAAAAAGGAAATAAAAAAGAGAAAAAAATTGTCTTCTTTTTGTGCCTCAATCATCACCGCTGTCTTCGCCATTGTCCCAACATCACCATTGCCAACATAGTTTGTAAGGTATAATTCAAACCCTATGAACCCCATCCTCAACGCTTGTAGCGCGACAAGCAATCACCTATACATGTTTTTCTTAGCGCAATGGGAGGACACTCATCACAGTGTTTATAGCGAGGAAAGTGAGCCTCGTACACATTTTTATTATCGTGGCAGAGTAAAATTTAAGTACACATATACGTGCCTCAATGTCTGCAGGGAAAGAAATTGTTCATTTTCAAACAGGTACCTTTGAAGACCCATGCATGCCTTTTTGGTGTGGTTCAATTGCTTTCTATGACCGCGATATCGTCCGACAACAATCGTGCACGTCTTTCTTGATGTGGCAGGAAGGCTAAGACTCCCTAAATTTTTCCTAAATAGGGGAAACGTTAGGATGCTACGAAAATTCTGATTAACAAAGAACTTGATTTCAACATAATGATAGGGAACATAATTTGCAAAATGAAGAACAAGGAACGAGACCGTAAACATTAAAATGCACAATAAAATTGAAAATACAAATACGGAATAACAATTAAAGCCATTCAAATATACATTAATGAACAACAAGGGACTCGTGATGAACAAAGCCCTAAGCGCACACTGATGATGATTAAACTCAAATCAATTTGTAGCATTCAACGAATTCGAAGCAAACATCAATAGATGACACAAGAAAATATACAGTGTAATATACGATGAATGCAAACACCCACTGACAGTTCACATGCGGGTGAGAATCAAGAACCTATCATATACACAATTGTCCCCACAAATATGATGGAAAACAATAAGCAATGGTTGTAATAATGCCCTGCAAGCAACTTCAACATATGAACAAACACATGCTATTACATAAGCAGCAATGATCGATTATGCAATGCATCATCAACTAAGAGGTGTTTGAAGAATTTGAAGTGAATGCAGCTTGCATGCAACTAATTTTACTATAAATAAGCACAATAAACCATTTATAGATGATGATGGTGGACATGATGCAGGTGCAATGAGTTCCCTACAAACATATCTAAGGAAATTGCCGTGGTTGTACAAGTTGAGGATCTATGATGTGATGGTTCATATGCAAATAAGAACCAAGAGCACGCAATAAATATGACAACTGCAAATAAATTGTAGGAGATTTGTCATGCCTACAGTAATCAACCCACTGATAATAACGAACAATGTGCAGCATATGTTATATCCTTCCTATAGTCAACAATCACTTGATGGCGAGCAAATACACTAATCCCTCGCAAGCAAAGATCAAATGACCAATATACAGCATTCACATCAGTAGGGACAGATGTGCATTGAATAACAACTTGCAAGCCAACATGCAAAGGGAACCAGTGGTGAATGCAACTCAACAAGTAGCCACATCAGCATTCTAACAAACAAAATATCAAACCTTTAGACTTTACCTATATATCACTGCAGCACTCGTGGATATGTCATTGTGTTTGTTGCTTTTGAATGAGATATAGGGAATTCATTCACCATTGATCATTATTGGTAGTTGCTATTGACATGTCTGCTACTCTTGCTCATAAACGATGCACTTATCGTTCTTTGTATTAGACAAGTCTTTTGTTTGCCCATTAGCATTTGTATTTTGGTTGACATAATAATGCCTTGAAATTGATTGAAGACTTTGTCTCATTGATTGGCATGTCATATTGGAAACTCTTGCACTCAAATTAGAAGTTCATCATTTTGCATATGATTCAAGTTCAAGTTCTCTGTCAAGTTCAAACTTTAATCCAAGTTTGAACTCAATGTCATTGTGGCTCATATCACATTCAAGTCCAAATCAAGCTTGTATTTATTTAACTTGAGTACAAGTTAGATCATTACCAGTTATCTTTTCTCTTAATATTCAAGTTCATTTGGAGCTCATATTCATTTAGATTTGAATTTTATTAATGCCAAATGAATCAAGTCCACAAGTCCCAAACTGATCTATGAGTTCAAGCAAGTCCATTGTTCAACTCATTCAAGTTCAAGTAGTCCCCTGCTGTCCGAGTCTTGTTCAAGTTTAATGTCCACCACACTTAACTTATTTGAATTTGAGTTTGAATTGTTCAAGTCAAAATTAAAACTTCTTGTACAAAGTTCATTGTCATTTGAGTTCAAATTTGTGTTCAATTGAGCCCGAGTTCATTCATTTTTTTTTTGTGTTCAAATTAGGCCCAAATGTAGTAGCATATTCACCCGAAATTTCAGCAGCTTCCCGGCGTCTCCCCCGTTTAGGGGAAAACTACATAAAACTGGGTCTCCCGTCACACTAGAGAAAAGCGTGTATGGTAGGTGCCCTCGTACAAAGACAGCGTGGCTATGAAATCTTTGTCCCCACCACGCCAGAGAAAGGTGTGTATGAGTCTTCGGTAACTGTTGCAAAAGAGAAGCAGTTGTTTCCCAGCGAGCGGGTATTTATGAATATCCCGATCTCGTCATAGGCGCCGCACCAAGTTCCCATCCCACCACGCTAGAGAAAAGCGTGTATGAGCGGTTTGCCAGCTCGACACGAACATCGAGAACAAGATTTGGAGCCGAGGGGTCGCTCGCCTACGTCGTCATAGGTGTCGCGCCGGGTTCCCTACTCACCACTCTAGAGAAAAGTGTGTATGGGAGATTTGCCGACCCGACACACATGTCAAGGCAAGAGAGGAAAAGATTATTATTATTATCATTTATTTATTATTATTATTAATTATAATTAAATATAATTAATCATATCTAATAATAATAATGGATTATATTTAAGAATAAATAATTATAATTAACAGTTAATATAATTAACTCTTTAACTATAATTAATTATAACTTAATATAATTAATTATTATTACTATTACTTGTGTGAAACGTCGGCACAGGTAAGTGCGCGATGGGTTGGGGATCGAAGGGAGCAGAGTTGGAGTTCGGGTATATGGCGAGGTTCGACTGCAGGAGGTGTCGGGCAAGGGCTTGTTCGGCGGGAGTCAGCTAAAGGAATTGGCAGAGGGAAATGTAGAGAGGTCGGGAAGAACAAAGGTATCGGGAGAGCCGCCGAAAGCCATGGGGTTGGTTCGGTATTTAAAGGCGACTTGGGCGCTCGATTGAGGTGAGATCGCAGATTTTGAGCAGGATTTTCGGAACGGCGCCGCATGTACAGTGATTTTGATGGGATTTCCGGCAACATTCGTGGACCCGATGGATTACAGCAGGTATGTATTTCTTTTTTTTTTTCTCATTTTTCTTTGGGTATTATATGGAGGTCAACAGCAGGATAGGGAAATGCACCGGACAACAGCAGGGAACAGGAAACAAGAAACAGCTAAACATCCATACTGGCCTAGCAAAAAAATATTTAAATTTCTGTTTTAAATGGACCTAAGCAAGCCTAGGTAAGTAGAAGGAACAGCTCCCATTCAGCAATGCAGCTTGAAACATAAAGACGAAAGATTAGTTGTATTGCACAGGTATCAGAGATGATGAACGGAACATTTTTTTACATGGAAAAATGTTACCATGAAAGAGAAAAATAAAGTATGTAAAAGTTTATAATATGCATCATTTAATAAACATAGAACACAACAAAATAAATAAATGAACCATCACTTGGATGGAAAGTGATGAATATTAAGAAATAACAAAAATAAATAGTGTAGGAATAATCAAGTATATACATACCTACAATAACCACGCCAAGAGGTTCGGCAAAGCCAGAAAGAGATGCCAATTTAAATGCCTTCCATTTGCTGGTATTTATAAACAATGTCAATTTGAAATATTATAGTAATTGGCTTTCACGAGGAATTAAAATCATTTGCTAGTTTTAGGGTCTCAATTACAAGAGGGGAAACCCATACACAATTCCAAGCAGCTAATAAAACGAGAAGAATGGGGATACAGAGGTTGATATGCCTTAATTAGTTTTACCTAATTTGCAAATGATGCACATTTGGTATCAGTGAGAAGACAAAACATACCTTTGAGTAGCAAAATACACTGGAAGAGCAACGGCAACACCCTAAAGAAACAAATTTACAACATTATTTATTTCTGTTTCCCATTCCAGTACATTCAATATTCAAATTGTTCATAAGACAAGTAGCATAGATAGTAATTTCCTTCACATGCAATAATTATCCCATTCATAAAAAAATAATGCTGAAAAGAGAGCTAAACTAAGACCAATTATTATTTTGTCCGTCCAAGTATCAATGCATTCTAAGTTATCTATGATGTTCTCTTTTGTCAAGTCCTTGTAACATGGTATTTCAAATGCCTTGTAGGAAACTCAATAAATTTCCATAAGCAAGGGTATTTTACCAATCATATCATTTTTGGATCTTGGTTCAATAGTCTCCAATCAATATAACTTAAGATCATCCCTGATTCCAAATCCACGCTCCACCCAATCCCCAAAAACATACATACAAACAAATATTGTTCATGTGGGCTCCAAGCATTTGTACCCCGGCTCTATTTAATGATTTCTGATACTTTTTGGGTCAAATTCTAAAAGGTAGATTATGACACTGTCCTGCACTCGCGCTTCAGCCAAACTACCGCGCCGCTAAGCCATCAGACTTCCCTATCCCGATTTGATTGTGGGCTCCAAAATTTTGTACATCGGCCTCTCTTCGTCCTCTTTTTCTTTTTTGGGTCGTTGAGAAGAGTTTTAATGTTTAAGTTCTGAGGCAAATTTTTAGAAGGCAATTTAGGTTTTGAATAGGATACTACCCAGAGATTTCACCCTCATTTTGTGAGGAATTTATAATCTGAGTTCATGTTTAATATAGGCGCAATCCCTTGTAGTTAATTACCTCTCCAAATAATAGGAGAAAATTTTCGATTAAGGCTAGTCATCGAATAGATACATAGTACGTAATCTAAGTTCATGTTTCATATAAACGCAATCCCTTGTAGTTAATTACCTCTCCAAATAATAGGAGAAAACTTTCGATTAAGGCTAGTCATTGAATAGATACGTAGTATGTGATGTATAGTAGCACAATGTTTAGATATTTAAAATTACAAATTCACCACCTTGCACTTAAGGTGGATGGTGGGAGGAGTAATGATAGACTCGATCAAGATCCTATGGTTCCATCATCACGGGTCATCATGGTCCCTAGTCTACTTAGTCAGAGAATGTTGTCGACACTCGACATAACCTAACTGAACGATCCTTGTCGGCAGCAACCATTGGTTGCTTCGTCTAAGAGTACCTTATAGACCTGGGATAAATGTTTGTCTAAGGAGATTTGAATCCACGCCAGCTAACAGAGGACTTTGTGCCCTATCGATCATATCATATTAATTCATTACTCAAAAATTAAAGTCGTAAGGGAACATAAGGGTTCTGACCATGACCATAATTTAAGGGAACCATTTGGCAGCAAAACCACCCGGTCAGAGGGGCATGGTCATTATCGTTTACTTGTGGTACCATTTGAAAGTGAAACCACCGGTTAGAAAACACATGTCACGTACTTACTGGTAACAGATGGTTTGAGAATAAATTCTAGTGATATTCTCGACCATTTGTGAGCTAAAGTGATTTTTAGAATTGACCACATTGGCAAACTGTTGTTGAGGATGGATAGGTGTTTGTTTTAAGTGTGTAGGTGTTTTATTTTGATTTTAAACATCGATATCATTGAGAGATTTGGAAATTTAGCTCATTTATAAGTCTTTGAACATTAATTTTATTATCACGGCTATCATCAGGGTGATGCTGAATCAATTTGAAAGTATTTTATGATAATTTGAGAGGTATTTTGAATATTTAAGGTCCCCTCTGGTTGAAATTTTCTGTTAACACGGTTACCATTGTGGTAACTTTATTGTCACTTTAAATATTTATATTTATAGGAATTTGAGAGGCATTTTAAAAATTTTTGGTCCCCTCCAGTTGAGATTTTATGACAACTCGACCATCATCTGAATAATGTTAATGTCAATTTGAATGTATTTTATGGTAATTTGGGAGGTATTTTGAATATTTGAGATCCCCTCCGGTTGAGATTTTTTGTCAACACGGCCAACATCGGCCATCGGGTGAACTTTATTGTCACTTTAAATGTTTATATTTTATAAGAATTTAAGAGGCATTTAATATATTTGGGGTTCACTCGTGTTGAGATCTTTTGGGAACACGGCCATCATCGGAGTGACGTTAAAGTCGATTTAAATATATATAGTAATTTGGGAGGCATTTTGAATTTTTGAGGTCCCATCCGATTAAATTTTTTTTTCAACACGGTCACAATCGTCATAACTTTATTGTTACGTTAAATATTTATGTTTTATAAGAATTTGGGAGGTATTTTAAATATTTGGGGTCCCCCCCCCATTGAAATTTTATGTCAATACAGCCATCATCGAGTATTCATGAGCACATTTTCATTTTACTGGTTGAACCTTGTTAACTTTATCTGATTGCCGACAGATGATCAGGATCGTTGTCAGCTTTAGATTTATTAGTTAATCTTGTTTTTGTTATAGACCTTGAAGGCTTAATATAAACGTATAAAACAAATAATCTGGTGGGCGCCACGACTACGTATTTTTCGTTAGTTCAAGACGTGTCAACTCCTGTCTTTTGAAGGACAAGGATTAAATTTAAAATCTAATTCATGTTTGACCCGTGTAGCATCCTCAGATGTCACGTGTATATATGCATCACGCTCGTCGAGGCACATGGGGGGAATGTATTTGTGTAGCAGTTATATGTCTGCAATGTATCAGGTATATACGACACATTAGTATCCCCACATAGGCACTTGTTTTCATCTGCATGTTAATATATTACGTAGATACTCCTTTATTTGCATTTATGAAAATAAGTTGGCATATGCATTTGCATCTTGCATGATGTGCTTGATATGTAATGTAGCGGTTTAATGTGCTAACATAGCGTATGGAATATTTTCATGATATGTATGCAAGATATATACATGCAGTAACTATGTGCTTGTATAATGTATTAGCGTGATGATTCGGTGCTTGCATGCAATGCAAGAGGAATTTGCATGTTGGTGTAGCGCGCTGTTGTGCGTAGCACATTTTTATACATTGGATAATCTGCTTGCATGAAGTGTTTTGTATTTTGTAACATGTATATGCATTAGTACACATTTCAATGCATGGAGTGTTTTTGTAATATTCAAATATGAACAATTGCAAAATTCTATTTAAAAGCCAGCAAACTCCAATCGGCTTGTATGGATATTGCGGATCCAGTGGCGTGCTGCAGCAGTGCGTAACGCCGAGTTACTGGTCATCTGTTGCTTTATGCAAATAGGATGTCATGTAATGCAAGCTTCATTTAATGCTGCTTGTGGTCTAGCGTTAGGTATTCAGGAGTTATCAGTTGTTGCATGTAGGTGAACTATGTTCAGTGTGAAACTTCCAATATTGCTTGTAAGTGGGTCGTAGCGTTGCGCTACGGGTTGCCCGCTGCTTCTTGCAAACGAGCTGTTGTGCACTAACAAATCTCCGATATTGGCTCGTAGATACGTATATTTACCATAATTACATTCACTCATAGATAATATGTTCTGTGCACGTCTATGTTCATGGAAGACCCATCACACCTGCAGTGTACTCACCATTATTGCTTGCAAGTAGGATATTTGTATACATTACAAGACTCCTGCCATCACCTCTTGAACTTGTAGGCCAACTATTATGTGCATGACGAGTCTCCTATAGTGGCTCGTAGATGCTAGCATTTTTCACAGGTCTGTCGCTATTGCTTGCGGGGAGTGTGTCGTACTCATTGCAATCTCTGCCAGCGGCCAAGTTGCATTGAATGCAGATCTTCTAATTCTGTATACATGTGGGCTCCGAAATTTCGGGCCCGGCCTCCCCGTCGCGTGAATTGCTGTTTGCTTTTTACTTTGGCGAGGGAGTTCTAACGGAATAGGTTCCGGGGTAAATTTTGGAAGGCATATGGGTTTGTAGATAAGACATAACCCACAGATTTCACCCTCATTTTGCGAGGACTTAATGATCTGAGTTTTGGTTTTCAATAGGCGCAAGCCCCAATAGTTAATTACCCCTCTCGATCACGAGAGAGAACTTTCGATTAAGGCTAGTCATCAATCAGATACGTAGAATATACATGTTATCTGGCATATAGTAGCAGCATAGATTTGGATTTAGGATTTGAAGGGTTGGGTTTGGATTTGGAATTTGGATAGCAAGATTTGGTATTTAAAACAGAAACTTCACCATCTTGCACTTAAAGCGGATGGTGGGGGAATGGATGATAGACCCGATCAAGATCATATGGTTCCATCGTCCCGGGCCATCATGGTCCCTGGTCTACTTAGTCAGAGGAGGTAGTTGACCCAACCTGACAGAAAGATCCTTGTCGACAGCCATGGGTTGCTTCGTCCAAGGGGACCTTGTAGACCTGGGGTGGGTATTTGCCTAAGGGGACAAATTTGAATCCACCTTAGCTAACAGATGGCTTTGTGCCCTATCGATCATATCCTATTGATTCATATCTCAAGGATTTGATGCCACTAAGGAGCGTATTGGCGCTAGCGATAATCGGTATTTCGTGGTGCCATTTAGCGGCAAATTCACTCAGTTCAGAAGGCCCCGGGTCATAACTGTTTATCCTGCGTTGCCATTTGGCGGCAAAATCGCCGGTTAGAGAACACGTACCACGTCCTTACTGGCAGGAGATTATTTGAGAATGGATCCTAGTGATATTTTCGACTAGGCATTTGGCTTTTTGTAAGCTGAAGTAGATTTTGATTTGTCCACCCGACAAACTATTGCGGAGGGTGGATAAAATTTGCTTTAAGTGTTGATGGATAGATTTCAGTTTTAAATATTTTGGAATTTGAATTTGTTGGATTTTGAACTTTGTGGAGTTTTAGATTTTGAATGGACTTTTGAGAAGCATTTGAAAATATTTGTTAACCCCTCCGGTTGAGATAAACATTCAATACCATGGTTTAAAATTGCGCAATATGAGGGCTCGCCTTGAGGCCCGCCTTTGCGCAA